ACCCTGGTTTTGAAGCCTCGCCCCTAGAGTTTACGACACGGAGAAACGAAACCCGGCCAAAAAGAGGAAGTAATCTCATGAAAGAGAAATTGATCTTACTCCACAAACACCCGTTAACCTTGTAATTCCAAACATATAGGTGCTCATTTGTTTGTGTGTTCGTGAGGCGCCTGTGCGATCAGATGGATTAGATCAAATAACGATATAAAGAAAAGAAATAAAATGCATTAAGAGTGTCACAAAAACGAGCGTAGCCTATACTTGCCAGGACAACAACAAAACGCTGTCATTCTGCAATTCTCCACCATATTGACTATGCCGCGCGCAAGTTCAGGTAACTCAACCAGATTTGAGATTTCATCATAGCCACCGCTCACGTCCATATTGATAAATTCCAAGTTTTGCGTTGAAACGACCGTGCGCCCAATTTTCTGTCGTACGTTCATTTCGTAAATGAGGCCCAGTGTGTGTTAACTACTGGATTAATTGTATATTTCTAAAAGACATGTTTCAAATGAGGTCAAAACCTGATTTACAAATTCGACACTGGGTCAGCAGATTGCCTGAATGACTTTAAAAGGGACACTGGATAAAAAAATAAAATAAAAAAAAGTTTTGTGGTAATTTTTGATCTTATTCACCCCTCAAGTTGCTAAATAATTGCGCTTAAGAGTTTTTTTTTTATTTTTTCAATGAAAGAACACTAATTTCCTGGAAGTAGAAACAATAAAATTATGCACTTATTTTGGGATTTTAGATGATTTACATTTTATTTAAGTATTTTTAAGTATATTTACATGCAAATTTCTTAATTTCACCATAATTTCTATAAACAAATAGGCAAACTCTTGAACGTCACTACAGTAAAAATCTTCTGTAAGCTAAAACATTAAGCAAATATAAGAATCTATCATGTATTGGGCCAGGTTGCTGCCAACTTGTGAAAAAAGAAAAAAACCCGCGGCCCACCCAAATGCGGCCCCCCATGCTGAACACAATTAAAAAATAACTTCCAGTTTTACAATTCATTTTAGTTTTTACATTAATTTAAAAATGCACTAAACAAATATAAGTTATACTGTTTTTATTATGTAAAATAATTTAGTTTTTCATATATTATTTTCAGACATGAGCAGACCTATGTACTCACGTAATTAACGTTACGCATTTAACGAACACTTACAAGCACGCACTTTGGCAGAATTCAATTCAAATAGTCATCAGCAGCCATTAGATTGGTAAAACTGAGCATCAGAATGGACAAATTTGTTATTAAGGGAGAAAAACGAAATGTGGAAAATGCCAGCGAAGGAACACATACAAACAAGAATAGTCGCAGTATCAGCAGTGAAGGTAGGAGAGTGCTGGACTTTCGGTTTGCCCCGCCACTCACTTGAAGATGTTCAGGCAAAATGAAACACCCATAATACACAGCAATCATCCTTAATTGCAGAAATGTGGCAAAACATCTCTGGAGAGAACCTCAGATTATTAAATTCGAAAGTGCTTTCCATATTCGGATCTTACAGACTGCAACTTACAATCGCAACTTCATTGTGCTGTTACTCCTTTCGAGCCGAATTTCACAAAATTGGTCAGCTCCCGACAGCATCAGGTGTTTTATTAAAGGCGAGTAGAATTATTTATTTATTTCAATAAATGTAATCATTTAGATATTTAGGCTGTAATATTATAAATCTGGTTGGTTTGTATTGGTGATGTAATATGTAAATGACAACATGCGGCCCGTGAGACTTGCACTTGGACCATAGCTTGGACCCAGTGGAAAAAAAGGTTGAGAACCACTGATTTAGACATTACCCTAATAACTGTCAACTTCTAGTTATGTATTTGTTTATTTTTCACAGTAAAGCTTACAGTCATGGACTCTCAACTCTCTCTGGGTGTTTAAGTGTGTGAATCTGTTATACTCTGGACATTTTATGGTCGTTCTCCTTCATTTCTGTGTGTTCGTTCAACATTGTGGGTGATATATACTGTAGATACAGATTATTCAACGCATGCTAAAAATTGCTCTGTGTTAGGGTCTTTCCCTATGGAAGCCCGTTTCCGCCACTGAATAAAAAACAAAACAAGGTAATTGCGACTTTTTCTCTCACAATTCTGACTTTTTACTCAGAATTGCGAGTTCATATTTTGCAATTCTGAGAAAAAAGTCAGAATTGCGAGATATAAAGTCGCGACTGAGTTTTTTTCTCGCAATTCTGACTTTATAACTCTCAATTGTGTGTTATAAAGTCAGAATTGTGAGTTTATATCACACAATTCTGAATTGTGAGAAAAAAATGTCGCAATTACCTTGTTTTATTTTTTATTTAGTGGCGGAAACGGGCTTCCATGTTTACCTATTCATTTCCCATGGTAGGTTAATTTTGACCATGAAAAGCCAAGGTGTGAATTTTTTGAATGATCATTTAGACTAGCTTTTTCCCCCTTCAGATTGCATTTCTATAAAAAGTCACCAAGTTTTGATTCATTCAGGCAGAGTGGAAACTATGAAAAAACATCTCAAATTAAATTGGTAAAAACGGCAGCACAGCCTATAATTAAAACGTATGAGAAAGTTTTAGCATACTAAAGGTCTAAATCTAGAATAAATAGATTTAGCGGGTTGCTGGATGATTATTCAAGTAGTCAGCCATCATGGTCCATCTCAAAACAATTTACTGCATTCAGAGACTTCACTGTCTCATTATAAAGTCACAAATACAGTATTAAGGCATAAATATGCTCTGCTGCTTCCTCTTTTACAAAACAACACAACAATGCCAAGGACAGGCAACATTTAGTTATGTAAAATTCAGTCAGAGCAGAGTATTTTAAAATCCCACCAGGAGGAAACTGGTGAAGGAAGTGCTACTCTTCAAACAGAGTCAAGAGTTGGTAACACACGTTCTCCTCTGAGCAAAAGCAAGTCACAGCGATGCGGTCATCTCCAAAACAAACTAACCTCACAACACAAACACGCACAGCTCATAAAACACCACAAGCTATTATGGAAGTGCCTAAAACACCAGCACAAACACGTGTGCTCAGTGTGTCTTACTTTGATTTGATAGGGCGTCTCATAGCTCCTCTGAGGGCTGAATCCAGCACACAGTTTGAAGAGACTTTTCATGGTTGAACATGACTGTCTAACACATCTGTTTACCGCTCATGAGCGCTGTACTCATCATCTGTGTGTGCTGGAGCATGACAGCCCCTGCTCCATTACTAAAGCAGGGAAACCCTGTGTGACATACACCTGTCAATCACTGATCACCTGACCCTTCAGGGGGCGGAGTCTGGAGTTGGGGTCTGATTTTTAGTGAAAAGTCCTGCATTTAGTATGCATTCTAGTAACTCTTTGTATAGCTTTGCATTGAAAAAAAAAAAAAAGTAGTATGCGGTTCAGATCAAAACTTACCTAAGAATTCAGTTCAGTAGTTAACTTACTACTCACACTATTTTTACTGTATGCAGTGTATATAGTGTGTACAATATGCAAATATGTCTATAAAGGATATCTAAATGACTCAAAGTTTGGCCCCTGTGTGCTGCTTCTGATGCCTCAGGTCAGTAGAACCGAGAGCAGCTCCAGAGGTCAGATCTGTGCGTTTGTACCTTGTCACTGTCCACAGTGTTCTGAGAGGTTCTGGATGCGATGGAGATTGTGTCCGGCTGACTGCTGCCATCTCCCTGACTGTCAGCATCCTCACCAGCCTCCCTGCAACCAAACACATAAATAAAAGTCCCGATTAGGGATGTGCCCGAAGCTGAATACTTTAAACGAATTCAAACAAAGAATAATATTCATTAGATACAGTCAGTCCTTGCCCTTGCTGGATAACAGGAGAGCCAGGTGACAGCACAGTATTTTAGACACCACAAAAGTGACACAATCTCATTGTATTCATAACTATTGACATTTGGTGACTAATTCTTATGAATTTGTAAGATCTCTTTTTGCATCTGCTTACACCCCACTGATTGTTATATTTAGGGGTGGAGCTTCATGCTTTTTTCTAAAAATGGTATGTTTTGTACAAATCATATCATACAAATTCATTAGAAAGCACAACTTCATACTATTATTAATTTTTCTGATCTGATTAGAATAAAAATGAGTCGCTTTGCTGTTTCTGATGTGTTCACATTTATACATAAATGGCTTTAAAGAAAAAGATATTTACAGAAATTTTGTACTAAAAAGGAATCAAGTTATAAATTATAACAGGCATGTTTATATGTGAACCATGAAGAGAACAGAATTACATTTAAAAAGGGACAAACATTCTTTCTTTTCAAACTTTCCCTGCCCACATCCAGTTTTATCAGAATACAAATACAAATAATTGTACTGTTGCAACAGATATTGGCTTCACTGCACATCCTTATTCCCATATGCACACATTTTAACAAGCAATTGAAGCTTGCGTGAGGAGAGACAAGATGGCAAATGTTTATACATGAGCATAAGCCTCCTGCATTGTCATGCATAAATGGTTATGAATATTCATGAAAAGTGTTTGGTCTCATTCTTTCTACAGATTTAGTCATTTAGCAGATGCTTTGATCCAAAGCGACACAAATGATTTGATCACATCATTGATCACAAAAAAAAGCAGAATCTACAAATAGCAGCGTTTACAACTGCAGTATCTTTGAGAGCTGAGATTATGATTCTATTCATTTTTAGGACTGTGTGTGTAGAGTATGTAAGTTCAGTGTGCAGTGGTAGAGAGCGTCTGACCTCTTGCTGTTGTTACGGGGTTTGGCTGGGGTTTTGGGAACGCGGATTGGTTCCTTCAGCGCCCCCTTCAGGTGAATGATTCTCTCCTGGATGACCTCTCGGATGTTTTTAATCCATTCTTGCTTCACCTCGATACTGGACGCCTGACACAGACACAGTCATGCACATTACAAACAGAAGATCCATGTTTTACTCCAACAGGACAGCAGGACGACACAACAATCATGACAAAAAAAAAAAGCAGGAAATGTTTATGAAAATCTTTGCTCATTAGCAGTTTCACTGACTGGAACGTGTTTATGAACACTTACCACTCTAAAAGTAATTTACTTCTAATAAAATGGTAAATAAAATAGGAGTGAATAATGTACCTTGAGGACAGTCTTGTTGTCGGATGAGGGTGTGCGTCCCACCCACAGGGCAAATTTACACGGGTCTCCTTCCACATGTTCTGTCACCCCCAATTCAGAAGTCTGCAAACGCAGAAAAATCAGAACAGATATTAAAATTAATTCAGTGTGCATGGAAAATGTATTTAAGAGGATAAGAATATGAAGTATTTAAGAGTGAGATAACCCAAGAGTGAACTTAACTGAAAGCGGAACAACAAAATTGAAAGCATTTCCTCAGTAAAATCCTAAGTAGAGTCTTAAATTGTGTTTGCGAGACAATTCCAGATGACCAGAGGAAAACCAAAGGCACATCTGGATCTGTTCACAGGCACACTGAGCACAGAGAGAGGGGTGACAAACACCCCATCTGGCCCACACACCTGCCCGGGCTGCTTCCAGGTATGTGTGGAAACACTTAACAGAGTTGCACAATGTGGTAAAACAGATGGGAAATGTAAAATTCAGATATAACTGTGTTCATGTGTGCACCAACTGACCCTCCCATGGGGCTTTCCTTTCGTTTATGACATTGAAATGATCTAAAGCAGGGCTCAAAAAGGATTTATTTCTGCTTGCTCTCGTTTATGTATTTATTTGAGAAATAAACATATTTTATTTATTTTTTTTATATTATATTAATATTTAAATCATAATATTAATTTAAGGCAAAAGTCTTTAAAAAAAAATAAATGTTATTAATTTTTCTTCTTTAGAACTAGAAATAGCAACTCATTATACAGATACTTTATTATTAATTCATGGATTATACATTTTGCACAGTTTGAAGGACAAAATTATTAGTTTTTAGTTTTCAACCAATTTTAAACAATGGCTTTAAAACTTAAATCTGGACAATTTTGGCAAACCGTCATCTGTTAACTTGTTGGATAACTTTACCTTAGTGACATTTTCACATATTTGCAACAACAATGTGCAATAAAAGACAGAATAACAAATGTCTTTATTCAACAACAATGCATTCATTTTGATTAAAGTTAACTATTATGCTTTGTGAGTATAAAAGTCTTCTCTCTATTATCTTACAGATTTTTTTTCAACTGCTTACACACATTTTCAAAGCTTCACACACAAATCCAAGAACTGCACACACAAAATGTAAAATGCCTCACATCTCTTGCAAAATGAAGCGCTGCATTCAAAATATCACAAACACATCTCAAAAGCAAACATTTGCAAACACCTTTGCCGTAATATTAATTCCTGTTAGATTTGTGTGTGATACATAGAGAATTGTGTGTTGTATTTTGCAGAAAGTGTTTTATGAAATTGAAAACTGAGTCACAGGCCGAGAATTAACGTAAGATTTTGCAGATTTGGTGTGAGGTTCTGGTGTTTGAGTGTCAGGTTTCAGAAATTGTGTGACAAGTAAAGATTTTGTGTGTAAGCAGTTGAAAAAAAAAACTGTAAACAACTTCATAGCATTAAAACAATCGTACAGACCCCAAACTTTTGAACAGCAGTATATGTGTGTAGACTGAGTGATATAACTAGGTACCAGTAGTTTGTTCTTGTAGATGTATTTGGATCGTCCCGAGTCTTTGATTTCTTTGCTGAAGACGAGGGAGATCTCGAAGAGGAAGAGGTGGCGGTCTCGTCCCTTTCGGATCAGTGATTTGGGGTCCCACACCTGGAAGGTGTCCTGCAGGATGAGTTCACCCTGAACATCCAGATTCTCATCAAAACCTGAGGAAGAAAACATCACGTCAGAGGCTGAAGGCTTAGCGCATCTGTGGAAAGTGTGTGTGTGTGTGTGTGAGTGAGTGAGTGAGTGAGTGAGTGAGTGTGTGTTCGGTGGTGTTGTACCCTCCAGCATGCTGACGTGCATGGCGTCGTTGGCTCTCTTTGGGACACTCAGCATGACCTCCAGCCCGTCTTTAATTTCACCTTTGCCTTCTTCACAGCAGGACAGCAGCTCCTGTAAGCACACACACTGTACTGAACACTACACAGCGCACCGAACACAACGTCTGACCTTCTCATAGCAAACACTGAATGTCTGGGAGACACGCGGTACCTTGAGCAGCAGCTGGTATTTGGTGATTCTCTGCACAGGTTTGATGAGGTATGATGATATAGAGTTGGCCAGAGCATGTCTCTTCTGAATCTCCTGTTCAGAGCAGACAAAACCAATCATCATATATGAACAGAGCACCATTCACACACTGACCCACTGAATGACTCACTCACTGACTCCATCTACTGACCACTTCATAGTGCTCTAATGGACATCAATAAGTAATTTCATTTCAGCTAAATTTACTACTATTTAAAAAAACACATGTAAGCAAATTGCTGAAGATACAAAAGAAGTCAAAATACATTTGGAGTCATCAAAATGATGATTTAGAAAACTCTTGTGTGTACTTACGTCAAAAAAACTCCCAGCATGCTCTAGGATGAGCTGACTGGAATCTGGTTTGTTTTTGCAGTATGTCACATAAATATTAAACTTATCAGCCTGAAACACGAACACACAAGCTTTAATTCAGCATATCAAAGGAAAACAAAAAGATTTGTCATATTTAATTTCAGTGAATATTCACAGTGTTTAATTGATTGTCAGAATTCTTGCTGTAATAAAATAATTTAGCTGGAATAAATAAAATAATAAATATATTATATTATTTTATATGTAAAATAAAATAAAATAAAATACCATACAGAATATTACATACATACTATATGGTTAGGGTTAATTGTTTGTAATTATGCATAATTTACTGCTATTATTCTAGTAAATATATATAACATGTATAATAAGGAAACGGTAAAATCAATCAATCAATCAATCAATCAATAAACAAATCAACAAACAAATAAATAAATAAATAAATAAATACATCGTTTTTATAAATTGTAGTTGAAAAAAGTTGTTAGGTGCACAACATAAACAATAACATAATTTCCTGAGCAAATGCAATATTTTGAAACACTCACCCATGTAACAAAGCAATGGCCCACATCCTCAGGTAACTGCTCATAATTGATCAGCTCTTTCAGAAATATACTATAATACACACAACACAACATGCAAATGAGTCGTAATCACTGAATTTTCATATCACATGGGATACACAATTTGCACATGTATCATTTTAATTGGAAAGCATATTAGTCACCTCTTTCCTCTGCGAAAATAAGAAAACTGTGTGTATGCTGATAAAAAGCTCAGTGGCTTATGGGCTAAAAATGTCATTAATATTTGATTTAATGAGAAAAAAACTCACTTATTATGGAAGTCGTAAATCTCCTGGATGTTTCCAAAGATGATGTGCTCTTTGTTGGCGATTCCTGGAGGGATTTCCTCTACACCATTGGTCATCTCCCACAAATACGTCTAATAAATAAATCACAGACGCAGGAATTTACTGTCTGCAGTCATTGGCATGCAATATCTCAATGTACAATAAAGACCTTAGGATCTTACACGGGTCGTATCATGGCAAACGTATTTCTTTTAAAACAATGGATTTTGATGTACATATATAGACAGAGCTAAAGGTAGAGCTGCAAAAATGTTTAAATAAATATTTATTAATATTAATAAAACTGAAACACTTACCTCTAAACATTCATGCAAGTCCCTCACATAAGCCTTTTCTGTCTGTAACAGCTCTGCTATAATAAACCTGCAATGATACAAAGCAGAGAGCGATTCTAAGAGTCTGAAACTGTGATGTGTGTGTGGAGCTGCTGTCTGGAGGCTCTGTAGGATCCCTTACTCTTTCTTCCGGGCTGATTTCCTCTTTTCCTCGTTGATCTCGTGTCTATTTGTCAAAATGTGTAGTATACTGAACACACAAGATAACACACTGCATTAGATGCGCTTTCCATTTCAACTGTGTTCAACTAATAAAACAAAAG